TGTCTAACCAGGCCAGAAGTAGAATTCCTCCCACGCAGGCTCTTTACTTTCGCAAAGCGCAATTATCTCTTCTCTCCCCTATCTAAATTCCCTCCTGCCTAGGTATTCAGTCCTCAGCATCAGCTAGAGCCCAACCCAAGGAAGCATGGATAAGTCTGCAACGTACAGGAGCCTCTCATCATCCTGTTCGATGTTGGGGACAATAGGGTCGCAGTGCTCACAGCTTAACTTTACATCCATTGTTCAGGCAGATCGATTGTTGAAGGCTCCACAAGTCAACAACTCCCAGGCTTCATATATTTCTAAAGAACTCAATCATCATAGCCGGCGTTGACGCAGTCACTAAGGCAACATTCTCTGTGATGTAATCAGTATATAACTGATGCCAGGACCAGATGAAGTGATCTACCAATCCACCCCGTTGCGCAATGTTTCCTTCCTAGTATAAGGAAATAGCTTAGTAGCTCGTACCACACACCCGTTCACGCCCACGAATCAAACAGCTAGGACGGCACCATCCATTCCGTTCTAGACCCTTATCTCTATTCTCGCCTGATTATGCCGAAGGAATACCAGTAACCCCCAAATCTGAAGCAAGCCAGCCGACTTCCACACCCTCGTTCATGGAACATACCCGTGGAGAATTGCCTTGGGCGACACATTCAGAATCAGCCGTCATACCAACAGCAACTCTATGAGGATGCATTTGTTGTCCTCATCAAAGTCCACTTGGCTCAGAGAGTATGCACTCATCCACCACAACGTCTCAGAAGACCATCACGTTGCTCACAAAAGGACGACAATGGTTTACCGAACATCGATAAAAAGTGTCAACATCGCTTGTTTCATGTCAGCGGCAATTAACCAGTCTCAGACCACACTGCTCCTTTGCAAAGGCAAGCAAGCCTGCAAGTCATGGCCATGGTCAACTCAACGGAACCAAAGATAAGCACAATGAGCATCACTCTCTTCTACTAGAAAGGCTCTTGGAACCCTCTGTCCTGGCTGGGTACATTGCTGTATACTCGACTGCCCTCGGAGCCAGATGCCAGAGAGCCCAAGTCTCATCATCGTTCACACCTGGATGTCTTTACGCACTCGGAAAGTTCTAGGGGTAGTTGATGCAGGTCTCAATTGCATGGCAACTACCCAGACTCAGAGTTCATTTTTTTTTTTTTTTTGGTTCTCATAGACTACTCACATCAGCAATTCATACCATTCGTCAACCCAACCACCTCCGCACCATCAATCTGGACGTGGGCTTCAACATCCCCTGCGACTGAAAGCCACATAAAACGACACGCCTTAGCACTCACGCAATCAAAGGGCAAATCATGCAACTTTCTGACAATGGCTTCCATTGTGTGACACCGAGATGACAGGTCAATGGACGACTTTCGAATCCCACCGCACAGCATCCTCCTCTATCTTGACATTAACCTACCCCCGAAGCCCATCTCTCGACCCTCTTAGCCTCCGTCTCTTCCCCTGCTGGTGAATCTCCAAAGTATACGGCCATTGCAACAACGACTGAGAAATGAATGCAAACGCCTTTCCCAACGTCTGTCAAAGTTTGGCATTTGGGCATCGCACCTCTGTGTCACCCATGCCAGCTTCTCGACTCTCGCTTCATCTAACATGGCTACCAACCCGATTTATTTGCGGAACAGTGACACATGCCACACAACGCGAGATATATATACCGCCTCCAGTGATGACATCACACAGGCGCGCGCTCCGTACGTTTGCGTGGAGGGTCGTAGACGTCTTTTGTCAGTGGCCACTATATAAACAAGTCCGCCAGCAGGAGCACTTCATTCTTCCACAAACCAATAGAAAGCAATCCAGATCTCTGTTGGATTTGAACCTCACGAGGCCTCAGAACAATAATAATGCGAAGAGCGCCTAATAACATCTCGCCGGCAGCAAACGCACCGCGCGTCCAACCGCTAGGCTTTCTCCCGTGTCCAGTCTCGCCTGCTCATACACGGCCACATACCCATCCATCAACAGAGGAGATCGTTGCCTCAACCCATGTGTGTCGCACATGACATTGAAAATCGCCAGGCTGTGTATCATCGCAAGGCTACGGGTTGAGGTTCACAACAAAGCTGTACCAAACCATGACGGCCTGAACGTCGTCTGCAGAGCGACCATTTCTGGAAGGCGCCGGACCCTGCAATATATACCCCCCTCGAACCCATCTCTAGTCAGTCGCTATTGGTGAGCACGCACAGTCGGCCGCATCTGAGGACCATCTATCTCCATAGGATGGCTGTCTATAGGATGTGGTCCGCTGAACCGGTATCAAACAACGCTGAGAGTCCCTGAGAAGCTGTGAGCGGAGCAGACAATCAAACCACAAGTAGAGCTCGATCGTATCGAGTTACAGTCAGGGCTTTAGAAGGAAAGCAGAGCAACATCCACGAGCCTCCAGGCATGCCTGGCCTCACTCGAGTACTCAAGCCTACGATTCCGCTGCCTGCGGGGTATGTTGTAGGTATAACTCCGAAACAACAGTGAAGAGATGACCATGAATGGCTCGCTATCACATCGGTCGGAGTAGACATCGAATTCGAAACACGCATCTGCTAATCAATCGAGCTTTGTAGCAAGAGAGTGCGACTCCAAACGATGTCCGCCGCTAGAGTGGGGCATTTACTTGCAGAACATCGCTGATTTTCACCGAATGTAGAATTATATACTCCCTCCCAGATCTTACTAGTACTAGAATGCTTCGTTTACGATATGTGAGAAGCCACCAGCCTCTCGTAGTGGCTATAAAAGAGAACGATCAGCACCGTTCACTACTCACAAACCAATAGTGCGTGTGACTGATTGGACACACCCAGTCTTTCCTCGCTCGGACTCGGCTTTCCAAACCCGTACAGACTCAGGAAAAGACGCATCACACACACATGCCCAGCCGCCTCTTGACATGACCATCTTCTAACGAGTCTATAAACGGTATTGTCCATACATACATGCCACATACTCCCATCTGGACCCAGACAGCGGATGACCGAACGTTGCAAACCGTGACCGCAACCCATGAGATTGAATATCTATCCTCTTTGCCACGTCGGAAATGGTCGGCAGTTCCGAGGTCACTTTTACCATCTGGCAAAGTTTCCAGAAGAAGACTGCCACGATGATGCCACGATGATTTCGTTGTCTATTCTGAGCCCATCACCCGATATATGTACTCCCTCACTTGTCCAGCCTTACTTCATGTCGTCAACGGCTCTCATGTTTGCACATACGGCTACCAGTACCCCTTTGGTTTACTCGCGACCCGAAACTGAAATTTGATTAAACTATTTTCCCCTGGCCAGAGACGACCTGACAAGGACACTTACACAGGTACTATCGACACATCTCCGCGCGCCTCTAAGCACAACCCCCAAGCTCCCAAGCACTCTCAAGCTGATCATTATCCGGATATGCACCCAATATCCCCCGAGAGGCCGAGACAACAGAGACCCGATGTCCAAGTCGCACTCGCTATCTACAAAACTGATCATTCCCCGGGCCACAACACGCAAATGGCTACAGCTCCAGAACCATGGCGGATACCGAGCATTTAACATCAACCCAACCGGCAAATGTTGCCGTCCAATCTCGAACTTGCAGCCCCTGGACGCATTATATACCCCTGGCCCTTCTTCCTGGGCCAGGCGCACCCTTGGCAGCAGCACTGATCATCTCCAGCAACCGGCCTGTGAGCATGGGAGTAGGGTATAAATGCAGACTGCAATCGTATCTCTATCATACCCAGCAATGAAACTGCTGGATCTACATGGTCGTAGTTCAATTATATCCCAATACTCTTTCCATTCCCAACCGGCACAAGTAGAACATCTCCCACCCTATTTCCCTCGGTCCATCCTCCGCCTCGGTTGCGGCCGCGTATACATCCCACAGACTCTCCCTGAGCCGCCGGACGACGACCATTCCAAATCAACACAGTAAAGCCCACTTCGAGCCCCGTTTTCATCGTACATATGATGCCAACCTTTTTGTTCATGGATTAGCCTATCGACGATGAAAAAGAATGCTACTGACGCAGCTGGCCATAGAACTTGTCATTTCTTGCCCCGATCACATCTTCAGCACCAGCAGGAGAACTTATATACCTAAACCCCCACCCCGAACGCCCCGTCCCTCAAGAACCTCAGGACCTCAACTCACAAGCCCCGTGATAGCATACCACCACTTGCAAGACCCAAAATCTCCTTGTTGCCCGAGGGTCAACTTATAATGTGCAGGGTACGCTGCACCAGTTCCTCAGAAGTCTTGCTTTCACGGCCGATATGGAGGAAGAACAACATTACTTCCATTCTAATCTGACCCAACATCATCTTCATCTGACCCAAAACCTCCGGGCCGTCTTCGGTCATCTATTCAACCGCATACCCTGCCACAGAAGACAGACGCCAACCACCAACCCACGCGAATCCCATCTCGCAATAGTTCCACAGCAGAGACGGCACCAGCTCAACCCATTCATCCCATTGGGCCAGGTCGCAATACCAAATATCGCCTGTGCATCGCGCCATTCAAGAGATCAATTGCCCTGCCAACATGTCAGAGCCCCCCCGTCAAGAGAACTTATATACCCCAAACAGGTCTCCAACACCTGATGAATAAGCCCATCTCTACGCAAAAAGCTTTGTGGTAGTGCGTCGCTCCATCACAGATCGCATCTTCATTTCGGCAAGACGGCCTTTGCAAGACGACTTCACTCGAACTAACAACTTCAAATTTAACAAATTTATTCAAAGCATCAGTACCTAAATGCCTCCTCCCAGATCCTTTATATGATAAAAACAGCGCCCACCCTTGAGGCAACGATTGATAATCTTGCGCTGATTTCGTTGTAAATTCTTGTGAGCTGTATGAAGCATACTTGTAACACCACGTCAAATTGCCTCCCCGCGCCTACTCTACTGACTCTACCTCGCTAATCTTGGACCAGACCGTCTCCTGCAACGCCGACTTCAGCCGCCCCTTCTTCCGCCGGTGCTCATCAGCGTGATCTTTTGCTTCTTCTTCTTCCCCTTACCACCGCCTCCACCACCACTAGCAGCCGCAGCTGCACTGCTGCTAGCGGTGGAAGTGCTGGGTTCGTTGACGCCCATCGCCTCCATCTGGAACGACAAGTCCGCGGCGCTGAAGACGTCTTCGTCCTTCAGCCAGCCATCATCCACGGCGCGCTGCGGAGCGAGTTGCGGCGATCCGTGGATTACGTGAGTTCCCCACACCGTCCTCTGCGTAGATGGACTCGTAGAAATGGAAGCGAGGTGCTCGAACCCGGGTCGCGGGTCCGGCGGCGTGGCGCCAGCATGACTGGACAGCGGCTGGAACTCCTCGAGATTCAACGCGGGGACGTGGTCCTCTTCGATAGGGCCATAGTCGCGCCTCATCGCAGCCGTGCTCTTGAACTGCGCGGCCTCGATCCTTTCGGACTGAAGCCTCTCGCGCTCCTCCTGCACAGCCTTGTCGCGGTTGCGCTTCCTCCTCCGGCCAATCTCGTCCGCGAACTTTTCAAGCACGTCTGCCGACACGATGTCCGTCCAGTCACATTCCAGAAAACTGATGCGGCATCCGTAAGGCAAGTGGCCCAGGTACTTGGCCCGCTTGCGCTGCACCTCATCCACGACGTGGCCCGTGGAGATGTGCTCGACGCGCGGGAGAAGCGTTGATGGGAACGCCGAGAAGTCGCCATACTTTGTCTTGAGAATCCGAATGTCGAGCGCCGAGAGGTAGAGATGTGGTTGTGACGAATAAAAGTAGAAATCTGGCTGCACCGACTTTTGCGTTCCCGCCGTCATCGAATCGTTCTTGCCGAGGTCTTTGACCTTGTCTTTGGACGCATTGATAGCCCGGATCGCCTTCTGTGTCCACTCGTCGTCTTCGTGGTATAGCAGCTGGTCCTCCGTTCCCTGCTTCTCCAACGCCTCAATCTCCTCGTCATACTGCTCCACCATGTAATCGCCGGTGCCCTTCATCATTCTCGCATAGTCTAGCACGTTCGCGGCAAAGTGCCACGGAATGTCATCCGCCACGTTCAGCGCGTCAGAGCCGTTCTCCCACGGCAGCGCGAGCGTCGACTTGGCGGTGCGCGCCATCAGCCGCAGCACCACGTCGTCGCCGACCCGCGGTAGGGGGCTCTCCTGTCCCGCGTAGAAGCGCACCGGTCGCGTCTCATGGAGGTAGACGCTGTCCTCGCACAGCGGGCACTTCTTCCACTTCAAGCCCTTTGAAGGCTTGGAGTCCTCGTCGGTCGTGGTGTTCATGAATCGGATCAGGCAGGACAGACAAAAGATGTGCCCGCACTTTGCCATTCTCGGCGCGACCGGCTCGGACAGGCAGATCGGGCAGCTCGCGGCCTGCGACTCGGACGACGCCAAGATCTGCAAGACATTGTTCCAATCGATGTGTACGTCGGCGTCGGCGGCCTGGCTGGAGTAGCTCGCCTCGGGCGAGACGACGAAGCGGTAGTTTGCATGGACGTATCTCGCCTTGTCGTTGGCGTGGTGTCCTGAGCCGGGGCCCCAGGTCGGATTGCGCCTGTAGCTCCTAGCATACGAGTGATGCTCCGCAAAGGGTCGTGTCGGCATGCTGTAGTTGAGCAGGTGGGTGATGGAGGTCTGTCCCCGACGGCTCGAGGGGTTTCGGACTGCCCTCATCTCGGCGAAAGCGTCATCGTCATCCGGGTTTGGGTGCCCCCTGTACTCGCCACCGAGTCCCGGCCGGCGCTGCATCTTGTGCTGTTTCCTGGCACCCTGGCTCTTTCGAGGGGCGCCTTGCGTATGGGAGGGGCTGGCTTGAGCCGGACGGCGGTTGGATTCGAAGCTCGTGGTGACGGGGCCTGGCTGGATCGCAGGCGAGTGGGAAGTCGACGCTGAAAGGGACTTGCCCAAGTTGGACGGTGTCGAGCTCATATTCGGCTGTTCGAAGATCGGGGTGGGTGTCGTGAAGGTCCTCCCTCCCGTGGAAGCGGCAGCCGTCTCAGTTGCCCCCCAGCTTGGTGTCGTGATGCAATGCGGCGCGAGGGAAGGAGTAAGGAGAGTGGAGGGGGCGACGCGGGGCGACGGCCTAGTGTGTTGACTCGAGCGTGAGGTTTGCTATCCGCCTGAGCTGGGGTCCAAGGCCCTCTCCTGACGATTCGATTGCAGATGAATGAGATGCAGATTGTAGAACCAGACGGGGTCCAAGGTGGACGGACCCCATGAGTGATAGGTGGGGATCAGGTAATCGGATGTCGAGAGAATGCAGCGAGCAGAGCAGTACGTAGAGTCATTAGCGGGGCAAATCGAAGTGGCCGTGACGAGGAAGCTCGGGATCCGGGGATACGTACTGTGCCGTCATGCCATCACGTGATCGGCGACTGCCGACAGCTTCATGGGCCAACGCGATGTTTCGTCGAATGAAGTCAAAGAAAGGCGACATGCATCCAAATGAGCCAATTGCAAAAGAGACGGAGAGAATGCAAGCGCGGTCCACTCAATTGGCGTGGGGTCGTCACCTGTGGTGTGCTTGGCCTTCACAACGTCATGGCATTCACGATGACATCTTGATTGAACGGATCATATGCAGATTAGGCTCGAACGAGGTATTATGGTACAAGATAGTCCGATGCAGATGAGCCGTGAAGTAACAACGAAAGCAGCAAAATCAAGGGAGGCGGCAGCCCACAACATCCTCGATTAATTATAGAGGCTCCTCCGCCATGCCTGTACTTCCAACATCCTCAGCACCCAGCTGCCATGCTACATTCTACCTCTCGAGCTCTTGCACATGCAAAGTGGACCGGGGGAATCATAGAAACGACAAATAACCCAAATACGCAGCACCTGACAAGACAAACCATATGAAACGAGGCGAAACACGCAGCCGCCCATCCACCCGCAAGCCAACGGCGGACGTCATTATCATTAAGCCGCTTATTTGCTGTGCACCTTGCTCTTGAGCTTGCCGATGAAGGCGCTCAGACGGTTCTTCTTCTTCTTCTCGGTAGCCGCGGGGCTGTCGGTGGCCTTGTTGGTCGTGCTTGGTGATGTGGACTCGGGAACGGAGGAAGCGGCCTTGGCAGGGGTAGCGGGAGCTTCGGGCTCCTTGGTGGTGGCACCGTTGGTGCCGTTGACAGCGTGAGTGCCATTGGCCTCCTTGGGCTCGTCCTTGGTGACGGCCTCCTTGACCTCCTCCTTGGCAAGCTTGGCCTCCTCCTTGACGGCCTCAGTCTTGGACTTGTCGCCCTCCTTGACCTCCTCCTTGGTCTCCTTGACCTCGTCCTTGACAGCCTCGGTCTTGGTCTTCTCAGCCTCCTCGCCGACGGCGGGGACGGTCTTGACCTCCTGCAGGAGCTCGGCCTCAACCTCCTTCTTCTCGACGACGGCCTCGGTGTTAGCAGCAGCCTCGGGGCTCTTGCCAGACTCGGTGATGGCCTCCTTGACGACAGCGGGGACCTCAGGGGCGACCTCCTCGCGGGTCTCCTCCTTGACCTGGGTGCCAATGGCCTCCTGGACAGGGACGGGCAAGCTCTCCTTGACGGGCTCGGGGAGCTTAGCGGCGGCGTCAGTGGCAGCGACGGTGGCCTGGTCGACGGCGGGAGCGGCAGCCTCAACGACAGAGTCCTTGGCGGCGACGGCGGCGGCAACAGCGATACCGCCCGCGGTGGCAGCAGTAGCAGCAATGGCGCCAACGTTCTCGGACTTTTGAGTTCCGAAACCGGAGGTGCCCTCGGAGGTAGAGGGAGCCTCGGGAACCTTCTCGAGCAGCTCGTCCTCAACAACAGCCTTCTCCTGGACGGCCTCGGGGTTGGCGCTGGCCTCGGGGTCAGCGTGGGCCTTCTCCTGGGCCTCCTTCACAACCTCGGGAACCTCAGCCTTGGTCTCTACGGGGACCTCGGCGGCAAGAGCAGCAGTGGTGGATGTCGGGGCGGCGCTATTGATTGTAACGTCGGCGGCGGATGGGACAGGCAAGCTAGACTCGGGGATGGTGGCGCTGGTGACGGCGGGGACGGTGGTCTCCTCCTTGGACAGACCAGGCAGAGCGCTCGAGTCCTCGTAGCCCTCCTTGTCGAGCTTGACGTGCTCGTTGATGTCGCCAGCCTTGACGGAGGCGGGGAGAGGCTCGCCAGCCTCAACCTTGATGGGCTCGGCAGTAACGTCCTGCGCGGGGAGGGGGTTGACGCCGAAGGAGACCTTGTCGAGCTCATTGGCGGGGGTGACGGGGAAGCCGCCGGGAATGTCAGAGGGGGTCTCCTGGGGAAGGTCGTCCTTCTTCTCAAGAGGGACGTCCTTGGCCAGGGCGGCGGTGGTGGACTCGGGGGTGACGGTGTTCATGACGGCGGCGGTAGAGTCTTCCTTGACGATCTGGATGGGGGTGAGGAAGTTGTTTACGTTGCCCTCGTGGTCGGGTTCTTGGGGGGCAGTGTGATCTGTGATCCAGTTGTTGTCGACGACAAACTATGAGGAGGGGAAAGAAAGCGGGTTAGTTAAATTGCACGAGGCAGCTTAGATGACGATGTTTTTAAGCGAGAATCAGTGTGGGCAGCGCGATTGTCGGTGCAATGGATCCTGGAAAGATATGACGACGCGCGGACGACAAAATGGGTCAGCTGGCCGCGCGAATCTGGGAGATGCCGATGTTATAAAGGCGACGGGACCAGAAAGGAAGGTATGGCCTGGCCTGGCGTGGTGGAAGGTGGGAAGGCGCCTAGGGACCTAAGGTAAATTGGAATTGGGAGGCGGCGGTTCCTGGCGCGCTGGGTGTTCCTTGGCCCAGGATGGGATGGCAGCTTGTTCCTGGTGCTGTGGTGCTACCTTAGCCCGACGAGGAAAGGCAGACGACGGGAGGCACACACACACACCTCACCGCACAACAAGGCAAGGAAAGGCCGGTGGTGCTAGACATTGTCATCTAGCCCGGTACCTTTGTACCCGAGATGATGGCGGGCAGTGTGGGATGTGTGTGGTAAGGCGTGGTGGTCAAGGTACGGCAGCGTGTTCGCGCGTGCTTGATTGCTTGCTTGCTGGCTGGTATGGCATGGCAGGTGTAGCCCGGTAATAATAAAAAATAAATAAAAAATAAAAAAAAAAATAAAAAAAAAATAAAAAAAGAGTCGTCGCTGGTGGTGACAGCAATTGGACCAGTGACGATGGCCGGTGGCTGCTGCTGGTTCCTGCTGCTCCGCTGATGCTAAGCCAAACGCTGCGAACCCGTCCAGGCTGGCTGCATGGGACCCATGTCGCTAGCCACTGCTTTCGCTCCCCACCATTCAAAAAGAGCAATGAACCTGGAAAACCTTGTTCATTTCTTTTTGGAGCAGCGAGAAAGCGGAGCTCTGGACCGCTCTGCTCGGGTTCCGCCCATCACCTGCGCCAGCCAGCCCAGCCAACCGCCAATTGCCCAAGGCAACTGCGTCGATGAGCTGCGCGACTGAAGGATCATTGCGTCATACCGCGACCAGCCCGGGACAGTCGGCCAGCACGACGCCAGCCCCGAGACCCGCGTGAGCGACTTGCATTGCGCCGTGCTTGTGTGACTTGATTTTGCTTTCCAATCTACCCATTGCAGCTCGGTGCAGGCCCGGACCGGGGTAATCGTAGACGGACTGCCTCTGCTGCTGAGGTTGCGCAGGGTGGAGAGCAGACCAAAAAGAAAATGGCCGATGGGCTGGCACAAGGTCCAACGGGAACGGCAGACTCGCGCGATAGGGCGGCATGTCCACAATGTCTGGTAACAAAGCGAGAAACAAGCGGCTTCGGGAGAGACAGAGCCAGAGTCAGCGCCAGCAGAGAAGCGCCCTCGGTGGTCGTGGTTGGCTGCCCCGGTGCTGAGTGCAGCGCAAACCAAATTGCGGGAGCGCCAGGGGCCTAGACGAGCCAAATTGCGAGATTGATGATAAAACCCCGATCCCCTCTGTCTGACATGACATGCCGCATCCGAGACCGGCCTGCAAAGCGTGGAGCCGACTGGGAGCAGAAGCTGGAGCTCTGGAAGCTCCCACCAGCTTGCGGCCTGGCAGCCCAGCCCAGCCCAGCCCAGCAAGACAGCATCTCCCCTCCAATTCAGCAGGGCAGTCCAGTCGGAGGACTCAGCGGACTGGTTGAGCCAGGGACCTTGGAGACGTGGATGTGGCGCACGGATGCTGTCGCGGGCTGGGCGAGGCGTTCGCTGCTTTCGATCGATGCTCGTGTCGCAGCTCACTCAATCTCGCTTTCACTGGCTCTGCCCCTCCGTACCGTCCGCCTTCCCAGGAAAAGTCGAATTGCGCCGATAAGGTGGTCCGGAAGTGCGGCCGCATGGCTCCGGGTCCGGACGACATGAATCAATGGTGATGTGAAAATAGAAATCGCCCAAATTGGCGGTTACGAACCTTGTAGTAAATCTTCTCCGAAGCCTCGGGGAGAGTAACAGTCTTCTCAAAGGCGTCGCCGACCTTGTCCAGCTTCTCGCTCTTGGTCCAGTTGTCGAAGGTGCCGGTAACGTAGACCTCCTCGGCCGGGTGAGCCCTATGAGAGACGGGAGTATTAGCAATGTCTCCGTTTAGCTAAGTGCTATCTTTTCTTTTTTTCGTCTTCTTGTGTAGAAAGAGTGCGATTCGAGGCCGCAAAGTGGATTCGCCATGTCCGTAAGCGGCACCAACTTGTGTGCAAGATGGTTCGCATTCCGCATGGCAGACGACGGAAATATGCAAGCGCAGCCAGCAATCGCTGAAGCTACGGATGCGCAGCTCAGGTACAGAGGTAGACGCCCATCGTCGCCGCATTCCAGTCCGGTGAAGAAGAGCGATGGCGGGGAGAGAGGGAATGCGAGTGTGGGTTTCGCGGGCACGCGTACCAGGTGAACTTGAAGGTGCCCATTCTGATCGGTGTGGCGGTTTCTTATTTTTCGAGGCGGGGTGATTAGTATTATTCCGGTCGGCGCAAGAGTATCG